GGCCAGAAACAGATATGCCAATCAAACGCTCCTTTGGTCGAAGCCGACCATTACAACGGATTATGCGTTCAAAGGGCCAGTCGCATCTGGCTCGACGACGCCGCGTCGGCTTTATACCAGCCTCGCAGCAGGGTTGTAGTAGGCTCGACCATTACCGTACCCGAGTGGTTACGATTAGCTAATCCACTAGGAGCGTCGCGGGCAAACTCGCAAGAACGTACGGACTGGAACGTCGCGCGGGACGCGAGGGATCCAGACCGTCTCGAGGCGGCGCCTTGTGCCGGAAGGGCTTGTCCGTACGTTGGCTTTTGTAAATCGTTGCGTTTGGCCACGTGGAAGGTGCGGGAAGCTAGTGTTACGACGACTCCAAGTATCTGCGATGCTCGCGGTCCAGCATCAGAAGCGGGTCTGGCCCGAATGCAATTGCGAGGATGGGCCTCCATTTGTTACCGTTCCAATAGACACACGTCGCCGTCGTCGCGGGATTGGAATTTTTCCATTTTGAATTTCCCCACTTTACCTTTTGCCAGATTGCACTCATCTCAGTGTAATACGACTATGATGCCCTCGTCGCCTGACTCGCGCTGCAAGTACCCGTACAAAATGTGCCCCAACACGCGCACGTTCAAGAAGGACGGCGAGCCACACACGCTGTGCGAGTACCACCGCAACAAGGCCAACTCGATTCAAAAGATTTACGCCACCAAGCGCCGTCAAGAGCTCCGCATGCAGCGCAAGTCGCCGCCGCGGAGCCGGTCGCCGGCGCTTGTGATGCCCGACCCGGCCCCGTTCTTGCCCGACGCGGCGCTTGCGATCGAACCCAACGATCTGGTCGACCTCTCGCTCTTGTTTGAAGACGACCTTCCATCGGACACGACGTCATGTAGCCTCGAAGTCCCGGACGCGGCGCTCTTCATGACCAGCCGCCTTTTTACCGACCGCCTCAAGTTGTCAGCCGATGACTTTGACATTCTATGTACGCTCGTCGATTGAGTAGCGTCATCGTCGTTTTGAAACCGTAATATCAATTCTTATTTATCCCAAACGAGCAGAACTTAGTCTCTTGGCAACCCGCGCAGCAGCGTTCGCGGTGCGCGTCAAGGTGCATGACAAGGTATCTGCCATGCCGGTACATGAACATAGCCGCGCGCCAAGCTTCCGACTCTACCAGAGACCCTTGCGCACCGGCGTTGCAGCGTAATGTGCCAGGTGTAGGGGTATTGAGTCTGAACGACAGACGGCTTTGTGTGCCTACTGGTATTGTCGAGGTGCTGAGCCGCGACGCAAGGCTTGTGCCTAGTGCAAGGAAGGGTCCGAGGACGGCGGCTAGGAGGACACTGCGCTTGCAACGGATACCGCCGCGTGAGCCACAAACCTGCCCCAACGGTTTACGGCTGGTGGCGTAATCGGTGGGGGTGTGCCATGGTTAAAGTTGCAGTGCTACGGACGTCCCACTGCTTAGTATGTCGGCCGAAACGGAGGCGAGGTCTGTGAGTGCGGTCAGCAGCAATTGTAATGAGCTGTAATCCACGTTCACATTGCGTCTCTTCGTTTCTTATTGCCAAGTTTGTACCTGGCAAAGCGTGTATCGGTCGGTATCTATTTCCACAGAAGGTCGCGTTTGGTCCATCATCATGTATCGTGTATCTCTCTGGATGTGATCTAGTCCAAATAAAGGTCGTCAAGCGCAAGCTCGTCTGTCACTCGCCTCGTTGATAGGCCTGTGAGGCAGGTGGCATGAGAGCTGCAGGGTGTTTCACAGTGATCACAGCGCTGAGGCCGAATCCATACGAAAGGATACATTTTGACGCCATCTCGGGCATGCACGTTGACGTGAGCAGACACTAGACACGACCTGTATTCGGTCTCGTGCATAGATGCGCTCGCAAGCCACTGCAGCGCTGTGCATCGCGCACGGGAGCAGCTGCCATAGCTTATGCAACCGGACAAGCCAAGCCAGCTTGCTATTTCGTGCACCGAGCCGACACAAGTCATTCGCGACACTCAACGGAACTACAATCACAAGATCACGATATAACTTTGTTTGTGTTATGCATTGGATGATCCAGTCTGTTGGTGTGGACTGATCAATACTACCGGTAGACCTGGTTGGCCATCGAGGCGCGTTGTCGCGTGCCCTTGCGGTGGCTAGTGATCACCCCTGGCATAGCGATACGAATCACAAAGGCGTTCTCGACAATTCGACTACTAACCATCGAGTCGTAACCTCGTTTCTACACCCTCCTGCGTGTCCCGTCGAAGCATATCCTCCTTGAATTGCACCATCGATCAATGTGGTAATCACTTGCAGCAGGACAGCATTGCAGAACGGGCGCGAAAATTGCACCGATTTCTTAGCACACGGCTACGATGACGCACGAGTGTCAATGACGCCGATCTTATATATCGCAGGCGCGTCATGCTCACGTCGTGGTGCTGCTGAATGCCGCCTCGTCTTGGAATTCATGCCTCGTGTCGAATGTTATGTACGAGACGCGTGTACGGGCGTACATTGCGAAAAACGCTGTCTCACATTCGGCATTTTATGCCGAAAATAAAGTCACTACTGCAGAGACACGGCACGCAACCTTTCCGCCGCATTTATGCGGGCGTTGCCTGTACGAGAGGGAAGTCCTAGATGGGATCGGTACCCGCCATGAGCTCCTATCATCGTTGCATAGACTGTAGCTGGCGTTGTGTGGTGTCACCGCGTGTATTGTGGGGAGCTGATGTGGGGGTTTAGGCGTCGAGGTCGTACGGTGGCATATGCCGAAAATAGAGCCGTCCGGCCGTACATGATGTCTTGTACGGTATGCCACTCTGCTGAATTCGCGCCCGTAAAATTTCAAGTCGCTCACTCATTTCGCATGCAGTTTGACGTTCCGGTCTTGGAGTCTCTCCAAGATCTCACTTTGCAATTGACCACCAGCAACGAAGATGCTCGCCAAGATGAATGTGCCGACCGAGCTCCAGTGCAAGTACGCCTACAAGGCGTGCACCAACGTCCGTTCGCTCAAGAAGGACGGCGACCACCACACGCTCTGCGACTACCACCGCAACAAGGCCAACTCGATCCAGCGCACGTATGCGACCAAGCGTCGCCAGGAAAAGCGCGAGCAGCGGAAGCAGGCCGCGCTCCGCAAGCTCCAAACGACCAAGACGACGACGACGCCAGTGCTGCCAATGACGATGTCGCTCCTCAACTTGCTCGAGACCGCGTCCTTTGACGCTTACGTGGTTGAAGACGACGACCTTCTCCTTATGGAGCCGCTCGAAGACGCGTCCTCGGTGCTCTCGCAAGAAGAGTACGAGTTCCTCGCCGATATCTTTTGAACGACGAGTCCTCGTCCAGCACCTCCTGCTGCTATTGCGGTCACTTGGACGTTTTTTCTCCTTGACACCGCCACACACACAACGCGTCGCCGTTGTACTCTGCGTCTGTACACCCTATTTACTTGCCAATAATAATCGTAGCTGTCTGTAGTCTTTTCATTCGGCGTTTCATTGTCTGCGAGGCCTGGACTTGGAGTTTCTACTTGACTAGTCTAGAATGCGTAAAAGCGCTCTACTGCCAGCGTTGGTAGTCACTGCGCGGGATTGGGGTCCTTTGATTCGCTTTGTGCATGGCCATGCACTTGCTTGGCTGGTTGACGCCGGTGACTTGACTGGCGTAAAGTTGGGATGTATAACGAGCCTTTCTGCAGACTGACGGCTCAAAGGGATGGATGCATATGTGGTTGCCAGCGCCAGAGCGACTCGGCCTGACATCGCACAGAGGCATTTTTCATACTAGAATGCTGGTCGTCTTGAAGCCACGGTCGTCTCGCTGGTCTATCCGACTGGAGGCGCCGTCAAAAGTCGGTTGCAACCACGGCAACACGAAGATCGTTGACTGTAAAAGTTGATGTTGACGCGGTTGAAGCAAAATTTATATCACAATAGAAAATGTGTGGCTTCTCCTTCAACCGCAACGCCGTCGGCGCCCGAGGACGACGCTACCGCGTCAGCTCCCGGGCTCTTCTTTCGAGCAGCACCAAAAAGGCCCGCGACGGTCCTATTAACCAACACATCGTGGCATACTAGTACTTTAGTAGAACCGTTAGGCCATTTCCAAGTCGTGGAAGGGGTGTTCGGCGAGAAGACGGACCAAACAGCCCTTAAAGGCATTTTCCGAATTGCAGGCGTAGCATTCAGCGAAACCCGCATCGCCCGCCACCAGGCAGACATCAATACATTGGATGCCCGTACAGTGCTTTCATAGAGGAAAGCATTGGACGATCGCACGGACACGCGCCACGAGTGTAGAAGCCTTTCATGTACTAGTGTGCGAGAACCATTTTGAACAGTGATCAAGAAGAAAGAACGCTGCAAGAAACACCATCCCATCCCTCACTGCGAAAAGACGAAACGGGACCAAGTGCATAGCAACGGAGACACGCGGAGCGGTCACGACGTGCAAGGAAGCGTCGAAAAATCGAACAGATACGTTTCTCGAGCAATCACGAACGTATGGTCAACCGTTCTTCTGGTATCTTGGATTGCGCGTCTAACGCCTCAACATTTTGGTTGCGCAGCACCTTCCACAGAGTAGCCAATTCAAAGTGCACTTGCCACACCGTCACCCAGAAGCCGCCAACGTTGTTGCCATGAGGCAGGCCAGAAGGCATAAAGTGCAATATTGACCACGTGGTCGTCGTATTTCCTACCTCAGCCAGGCGCGCGGCAACTTCAACATGCCGTCGATCCTATTTTTCATGGACAGAAGCCGTGAGCGAGGGTACGATGTGGTCAGCGCTCCCCAGCAGAGCAGCATATTTATGCTCGCGTCGATCCCGTTTCTGGGTGCGGCGTGACTGGTTCCAATCACTCGCTGGGTGTGTTCGAAAAGACGAACAAGACGCAACAGCATCTATGGCGTTGACGCGACGCTGCATGTAACTGGCAAGCGTCTCGACTCATCAGCTAGCTACATGAACAAGTCATCGCTGCAGCGCGGCGTCTCAGTCGAACCGGTCGTCGTCGTCGTCTGTCGGTGAATGGCCTCAAGCAACAGGGCATGTAAACACAGCGGCATATCGCAGGCCCTGCGTCGAGCACGCATGCGATCGCGGCTACTCGACGCTGGCACCGTCGACGTCGCCACCACTCAGCGGCCAAAAGATCGCGCAGATGTCGCAGCACCCCGCGTGTCTAACGATCTTTGCCAACACCACCGTCCACTTTCCCACAAGCGTGTCACACTGTGATCACGAGGACCGTACCGTACATTCCCTACGTACATTCAATTTAAGCGTACGTACAACCGTCCACGGCCATGTCGCACGCTACTGGAGCCAAGAAAAGTTTACCTTGGGCGGGTAATCTTGGAGCGCCGCGTGCGACGGGCCGGATCCGCGAATGCCCTGATTTGCAAGCGATACCAACCAATTTTCATCACTTTTGCTTTTCCCTTCTTATGCTTCCGCCAAAGATGTCCCAGCCCGCGCACCTCCGGTGCACATATGCCTACAAGTCGTGCACCAACATGCGCACGTACCGCAACGACGGCGTCCTCCACACGCTCTGCGAATTCCACCGCAACAAGGCCAACATGATCCAAAAGACGTATGCGACCAAGCGCCGCCAGCGGCTACGCGCGATGCGCGGTGCTGCCGGCCTGCCGCCGCGACCCATCCGATACAGCGGCCCCATGGAGCCGATCCCGTATCGCCCGCTCTCGCCGCCGCAGCCGCTCTCGATCGAGCCCAATGGATCTCCAAGCGCTCACGATGTTTCTGCCCGAGATGACAAGCGACATGGTCATGACCGACAACATGGAGCCGACCAACGTGTGGTCGGAAGCGACGCCACTCTCGGACGAGGAGAAGGAATTCCTCTCCGAACTCATGCCGTCCGAGTGACAACAAAGTTGCGCGTGTCCTAGAAGTATATATAATGTAATAAGTTAACCATGTTGAGAAACGCACATTTCTAGTAACTACTAAGAGCTGTGGAAACACCAAGCTCGTTTCCGGTGCGAAGGCAGCACTGGTTGCACCTCAAAATCAAAAGGCCGACATGCATGTTTATGCCCCGCCCACGACACGATGCACTTGCAGGCAAGTGCCACGCCTCATTCTATCTTGCCGAAACAGCCTCGATGCAGTTGGGCTGCACCAAGCGCACGCTACCGCGTGTCTTACCTCGAGGCACCAACGCCTCACGTCCATAAACGACCTCACTCGAGTCTGCGTAGCTACAGATATGATCTCGACCACGAGCGCTTGAAAGCACCGCACGGAGTGCATCGTCGTGTGCACCGGACCCCAGATTAATAGGTGAGGGCAGACAAACCCGACGAGGCCATCAGCGCCGCGAGTGAGTGAGGCGACAGGAGGTTTTGCTAGTCTCTAATATGTACGAGTACGTTGTATTGTTTTGAAACACAAAGATAACGCGAAACACTATTGAACTATCCAGTGAGTCTCTCATGGGCAGTATTTTGTATCCATCTAGATCGGATTCATGCCGCTCGAATAAACCCGTTGAGCGCAGCGTGCATGTAAATGGCACAAGTAAGCACCACTGCGTATGACGCGGCCGCGATCTGTGGACGCACACGATACATACAATCCAAACGGCACACAAGTAAGCGCGAATGTAGATAGTTTGTGTTGTGCTCCATAAAATCCTTTCCGACTCCATGTCCCGTTGCCGCGTCAACAGTCCAAAGATTTCCTGACGAACACGTTCTCGAACATCCGTAGTGTACGTTTTTAATCTCTTTTTTAGTATTGAAATGTACGTGTACACTGAACGTACATTAGCGCATCGCGACCCTCGTCGCTGAAATTCGTCTCGTTGGCTAGACTGATGGTCGAAGCTTTGTTGTCGCTTGCGTCTGCCTGCGCGATCACCGAGACGACGACGAAGGCAGCTAGAGCCAGAATGAATTACCATGTGCACGCGTCACAGCAGCAGCGTATTGCCGGCCACGGACGACGAGCGATGTCGGTACACGTACTCGCGATGCCCCAACCCGCGCATTTATCGGCGTAGCGGCGTGCTGCACACGCTCTGCGAGTACCATCGCAGCAAAGCCAATGCGATCCAGAAAGCGTACGCCGCCAAGCGCCGCCAGAGCCAGCGGGCGCAGCGCAAGCAGCACATCTTGGCCCAGCGCCAGCGTGAAGTCGCGTCCGGCTTGCCCGAGCCGATTCCGTTTTCTGGGCCGCGAAGCGCTACGACGACCGATACCACCGACATGGCCATCGTCGCGCTGCTCCTCTCTGATATCCAGCTCGATATGGAGCCCGTCGACGTCCAACAGCCTCCAACGCAGTGGTCCGAAGACGAATGCAGCTTTTTAGACGAGCTCTTTTCACCCTAGTAGGTCATTTTGTCTCGACCCATCAATTCTATTAGATGTATGTGTTATCCGAATCGATATTTGTCGTTCGGTCTCTTGTCGAAGGAGGGAGGACAGGATGCTGCCACGTCATTTGCTACTCAGATAGTGACGTGGCAGTCCCTGCGTCCACGTAGAAGTGATGCCTGCAGATCTTATTCTGCAACTGTTCATGTTGAACGAGAGCATCGCCATGCAGCTGGTAGCGTCTTCTGGCTAAATAAAGTGAAATGTACTTTATTGTACGTATACATTCAAAACGGGCAGGTGCGCGCATGTTCGCAGACACTTGGAGCACTACGTTTTGAGGCGCACATTGCCCGCATTCGTCTCTCGTGTTGAACAGTGCTTGCGCTTGCGCTGCAGTAACAGCTGCGCGCCTTGGTTCCACGCGGCGCTTGGCAGCTTGGCCTACAGACAGAGCACTTTAAAGTCCTGTCCGTGTCTCCATAAACCTTGCTCGTACACGTGGCTCGGCAGCGTGTGGCAGCATCGACACCCACTTGGTTTCTTCGCTGGCAACGAGAAAGTCTTGTTGCGGACCAATGACGCTACCCGGGCGGCATAGTCTACATCTCATTTTGCATTCTTGGCACGAGAGTTGATACGAGGTACCGCAACCAGCCAATGGCTTGCTTGGCCGAGAACCCGTCGCGCTGCATGAGGTAGGCAGCAATACACGTGCCCGTGCGGCCCAGTCCGGCTTTGCAATGCACTGCGATCGCCTACGCCAGCGTACATGCCCTTATGATGATGCTTCGATCTCAAGACCGTACCCCAGGTGTCGCGTCGCAGGCCTCAAAGAAGGCGCGCAAGAGCGTATCGGACGGGTTGCTGCCATCGGGAAAGCTCAAGTCGACGTGCTCAATGCCCATTTTGACAAAGTCGTTGGCGTCGTACGAACGCTCGTTCAAGCCCACGACAAGCGTGATGTTGTGGCGTCGAAAATGCGGCACAAAAAAAGACGGCGGGTGGGTTGTCGCCGACGGACCAGCAAACGCCAAGAGGCGCGGCGTGACCCAGTTCCAGTTGCCATGCTCGACTTGTTCGTGGTGTACATAGTCGGCCACACGAAATTGATCGCGGACGACGTACTAGCATCGACATATTGAAAAAGGCATGCGCGGTCGCGGTTTCGAACCACGTACCTCGAGTGACAGCGCCTTGGCGAACCCTTCGACCACATTGAACACGGAGAGCTCGAACAAACACTCGTCGTCGGTGGCGTCGTGAAAATAGGCGAGCTGCATGTCGCGGAATGGGCGTAGGGCGTCGGCTGGGGTCATGCCAGCGCACAGTACAGCGTAGCAACCCACGAGGCAGACCTAAAGCATGTACACGTAGCAGCGAGAGGCTACTGCAATTGAGAATGCACCGTGTTGGCTTGCTCTTCGAGGCCATGGCGCGTGCAGACGTGCACGACCTTCTTCTCGCGCTTGGCTTGGGCGAGGAGCTTCGATAGGTCGTCGCAGAACTGCATCGTCGTGCCCAAGTGGAACGGACCAAAGTCTTCAAAGTACGCAATGTAGCGGTAGTCGGCGTAGAGGTAGAGGACGTCGGGCGAAGTGGCCACGGGTGCGTCGTACGCCACGTAGTAGAGCGATCCGCCGAGCAGCGGGATGGGCATGGTCAAGCTGGAACTGGCCTCGCGCTGGCAAACATAAAATACGGCGCACGGATTGGACAACGCCCGCCATATTGGACCAATCAAATGCGAGAACACGGGATTTCAGATCGTGACGACGACCCACTCAACTCAATTGGCCGGACGCTAAGACGCCTCATCTGCCAATATCGACTCGAGGACGTGCGTGGACTGGAGTTTCTCCCTGGCAAAGCCGTGCAAGGTTCCTGGAAGAAGCTATACTAGGTACGTGGAGCGCGTTAAGAATGAATGCAAGAACCCTTTTCCGCGATTGCGCTCGTGACACCACCAACCAACTCGATAAAGGGCTATGCCGCCCAAGACAGACCTCTAGCCCAAGAACATGATAGATCCGCGATAGCTATCTGCCATCAATGCCGAGCAATCAGCTACTGTACATGAACTCTTTCTCAGATGATCCAAAGGAAATGGCTGCGTGCCCACTCGACCATTGACGATTATGCATGCACTCACCTGACCCCGCACGCCAGTTTTCTGCGCCAGGCGACGAGCCTCAAGCGTCGAAAGATGGCACCCCGACGTCAAAGGCTCAGAGCTCGCTGCATCATTATATTACGAAAGCGTCATTATGCAGGGCATGGGCTTCACATGGGCCTAAGCTGAGTTGTGACTCTGCTTGCGCGGCTGATCGTGCGCTTTGTCCGGATAAGATCTGCGCGGTTGTGTCTGGCGTTACTCGCCCTCTCCCGGATCCGGATATATGTGCATTTCCCACGACCGTCTTCTATGGCCCCCTCAACGAGCAAACCCCGTCCAGGCGTTGATCGATATTGCATTTTGAGACCCTCTACAAGATTTACATGAACCGCATGCAAAGTGCTCGGCGCCATACGATCATTGATTACAATGGTATTAGCTGAGACGGCGAGATACCTCTCGTCCCGTAGGACACATGTGCCAAGGTCGCCTGCTCAACAACTTGGCTCCGTGGGTTGGGGTTCGACCGATCCACGGCAATCGCAACGACGTCATCACGATATTCGCCGCCTCGGTGGCCGCTCCATTCGCCACAATCTTCTTCGCAGCGTTCACGACTGGATTGTCAGACCATCACTGACGTTGGCTTGGTTGTGACTCGATTGAGACGATGCTGGGAACAATGCAGCCAATCGGGAAGCTTGCGCGCATGTTCTTTGTGGGCGGCGGGCGCCCGAGTGATGGTCGGCGCCGCCCCCTCGGTGATTCGGTGGCCTTCATTCTCGATATCGACCATGGCGCTACTGCAGCTCAAGAAGCGCCGGCTCCTCGAGGACGACAACAGCCAGGACGACAACGACCAGCAGCAGCAGCATGCAGCGACCAAGCGCGCCTGCGTGCGGCCCAACCCGGTCCTGCAGACCGAGAAGATGCAGTCGGTGCTGCGCGGCCTGCGCCACGTCGCCACCTGCGTCGGCTGCGACAACAAGCTCTGCGCCTCGACGCTGGCCTTTGTCAAGAAGGTCGAGCTGCACCTCGCGACGCAGCCCGCAGGCCACGACCGAAGTACCTGCGCGGCGTGCAAGCTCTGGACCATGATCGTGCAGGACCATGCGCGCGACTGCGCCGAAGCGCGCTGCCTCGTGCCCCTCTGTGCCACCTACCGCCGCCGGCGCGACGACCCACCGATATAGTAGGCCCCATGGGACGACGCGCGATCCTTCGATCGATCGATCGATCGTCGTCGTCGCTCCTGTGCCTCCGCCGCGCCCACGTCCTTTCCTGTACAGCAACCGGCCTGCCATCCATATTCCTGTCTCTTATCAACACAGACGCCGCCGACAGCCGACGAGAGCTGGCCCCTGACCGCGCGACGAGGCGCCTTCCGACCTCCACGAAGCACACGACGAGAAAGACCGAAATATAAATGGCGCAATAGAGATCACGGGCGTTCGTAGTCCGACGACCCACTACTGCTCCGACTGGCGGCGGTCGGATGGATCGACTCGCTGTCGTGGCGCTGGTTGCCAAAGACGGGCATGAGGTACTTGGCGTCCACGTCGTTCCAGATGCCATGCATGCCCGTCTCGGCCGTCGGCGAGATCGGGTCGCCGCCGCACTCGTGCACTTCGTCGAGGAGCTTGACCGCTTCGGGACGCCTAAGGCAGCCATCATCGTCCATCGTCCTCGCACGATGCCATCATCCATGGCAGTCTGTACAGATACGGCGACGACGCATTGCGCTTTCCGAGCCCGACGTACGTCAGGAGCGGGCCGGTCGAGACGCCAAAGACCTACAGCGAGCATGAGACGCGCGTCAAGAGCTCGAGCAGCTCGTACGAGCGTCGTAAACATGACAGTGAAGAGCGTGCTGCTCTTGATGACGCCGGCGTGCGACTCGTCGGGCGTATAGACGTTGAGCGCGAGGGCAAAGGCAATTGCACCGCGGAGGCCCGAAAACCAAATCACCACCATGTGCTACATCAACAAGAGCTCCTTTTACACGTCCAATTCAGCATCGATACCGAAAACGGAATCGCGTCCTTCCGGCCGAGGTTGGCGAGGGCACAGAGCGGGAACGTGTTGGCGGCACGCGCCAAAAGCAGCACGAGCAGCTGCAGAATGAGAAAGCGCCAGTCCCACTTGAACGACGACGAGTCTAATAGCACCAAAAAAAGAGAGTCGTCGTACGGGAGGGCGCAGGAGAGTCGTCGTACAGGCCACGACCGAGACGCCGAGGTACAGAAAGATAAAGTTCTCGGCCAGAAACGCGAGCGTCGACAAGAGATGCTTGAGCGCGGTCGCACTCTCCTGCGACATGTTGGTCAAGTGGTAATGGCTCATGAGGACGCCGGAGAAGAAGAGCGCGACGATGCCAGAGAGACCCGCGAGGTCGCCGACCACGTAGCTAGCGACACCGTTGAGATGATTCAGTCGTCAGGACACACGCATAATACCTAATGTAGGCCGAGAGAAGCACGATCGAGATCTCATAGTGCGGGTACTGCTGCAGCATCGGGTCGGCAATCTAGATCCGCACATGTCGTAAAGAATAAAAAGAGGGATGCGACGACTACCTTGAGCATAAATGCCGAGATAAAGCACACGGCGGCCGCGAGCGCGACCGAGCCAATGCCGATGGCGATGACCTTGAGTACGACCATGAACGCTGCGTGATGGTCGACGTCGCTGATGCCATGGCGAATAAACTCTTGAAAGAGTGTAAACACCACAATCGCTACGCCAACACACTCGTGTACATCCGAGAAAAATTGCAGAAAATTGCAGAAAATCGTACCGACACCGTCGTTGAGGACGCTTTCGCCAAAGACGAGGTTGAAGAGCATGGGCGGTGCGTCGTTCTTCTTGAAGACCGAGAGCGTCGCGACGGGGTCGACGGCCGAGATGAGCGACCCGTAGAGGTACGCCTCGGCCGGCGTCAGCGCCGTGATGAGCCCGAGCTGCCCGAGCCAGATCAAGAGCCCGCCCGTGATGAACGTCGCCACAAGCGTGCCGACGATCGCGAGCAGCAAGATGGTCGAAAAGTTGGTGAAGAAACCCTACACCAAAACGTAGTTGCATGGCGACCATGGCCCGGGCAGCGTACACGCTTCTTCATGCTGAAGCCCGCTTCGAGGATGATGGGCGGCAAGAGGCTACGCACATGGCATATATGCATGTAGAAACATACGTCGAGAGAAGGCGAGAGGTGTAATACCCGAAGAAGAGGACCTGCGGGTTGAGCCCGATCTTGTCGACGGGCGTGCAAAACTTGAGCACAGCGCCAAACTACATGCATGTTCGTGAAGCGGCCGTCGCAGGAAGATGCAAGAGCGAGCGTACGCAGAGGCCAAAGACGATCGCATACGCCGACTCGGGGATCATCATGGTGTGGGTCGTCGCGCGGTCGAGCCGGTAGCCGAGGAAGACGAGGAGCAGCTGGAGCACTGCGCAGACGAGCAGCTCGACGCCCGTCCAGGCCTCTTCCGCGCGGACCGCGTCCAGCATGATCTCGGCCGGTGCCATCGCCATGCTTCCTTCTTCCATCGTCGCAGGATCTGCTAGATTTCTTGTAAACCTGAAAAACCTTT